GAGGCTGGAGGAGATCCCCCTGCTGGTGCTGGACCGCGCGCCCCTGGGCGACTAGGCCGGGCCTGCCTGTCTGCCCTCGGGAACCAGACCCCCTGGCCCCACCGCCCTACCCCCAAAGCATTGGTTTTGTTTAATCAACAGAGGAAATAAATATACACCCAACACAGTTGTGGATGAGCCAGCTTGGAATTTTGGAAACACAGCAAGGGCAGACATTCAAACCCACCAGCCATCTCAGGAGCCAAGAGGTCCCTCAACAAGACTGGCGTGGTAGGTAAAGAGTTGAGCTGCTAACTTCAAGGTCAGCAGTTCAAAACCACGAGCCGCTCCTCGGGCGAAGGATGAGGCTTTCTACTCCTGTAGTTACAATCTCCCACACCCACAGGGGGTCTTCCACCTGGTCCTCTGGGGTCCCAGGGAGCTGGAATCCACTTGAGTTTGGAGAAACTCCAGGGCGGGTCTACTCTTGTCTTACAGTGTTGCTATGAGTCGTAATGGAGTATATGTATTAATGGATTTGTATAACCTACTGGAATATATGTATAAACCCATTCAGAGCAGGGGTTTATACAGTTTAAACCTTCTGAGTTCTTGGTAAGAACCCATGCAGCCATGGAACCCCCAGGATCCTTCCACCTGGCGGCTGCAGTCAAACTGAGAGCAGGATGGAGGGACTGAATGAGTGGCGTCAGCAGTGGTATTCACTGCCCTTGGGATGTTTTCTTCTTTGATGTGAGATGTGACCCCCTCATCCCACATCAACGTGAGCACCACTGTTTTTATCTTTTGTTTTCAGGCATTTAGGAATCCATGTAACCAAGAGTGGGGTTCGGGAAGTCCAGTGCTGGACTTTAATAGCAAAGGGCGGGTTTTTAAACTTCTTCCTTCTAGTCATTAAAAACCTACTAATGACATTGGCGGTAGAGGGTTATGCTGTGGGCTGCCAACGACAAGATGGGCAGTTAGAAATGCCGAGCAGCTGTCCCGGGGGCAGAGGAGGTTTTCTACTCCGTACGGAGTCACCGTCTAGAAAACCCAGAGGCGCTCTACCTCGTCTTGGAGGTCACTATGAGTTGAAATGGACTCAATGGCAGTGAGCTTGAGTTTGGAATGATACTCTGGCCCCGAAGACTTGTATGGATGAAGGCAAAATCTTAGAACTGGCAGTGCTCGAAGTTCTCCGAAAGCTTTACATACTGAAGCTATTGGTTGCTACCATCTCTGTCTGTACTCAGACCACTCTCCTCTCCTACCTTCTTTCTGACTCCAGCAACACTCAGTGTGCAATAGAGGAAAGGCGGCGCTCAGAGGAATGGGCCTGCACCCCACATGATGGTACTGCAGCTGAGGTGGCTGCAGTGTTCTGGGTGGTCCAGGTGGCAGGGGTCCTCGCTCGGACCTACAGTCAATCTCAAGTATCACAATCCGGCCACTCTACTCATTCTGTTCGTTGTGTTGGCCGGGGAGTGATGCCTGGTTCCCGGGCAGCAGCCTAGGAGATGAGACGAGCAGGAAAAGCAAGACATAGGCCAGAATGCTGCCCCCAGGCAGGATTCTCTGTATCCTGTGACTTATGGTTAAGTGCATGTGGCACTGTTAGAGCCTCTTTATTCGTGCCCTCGCCCACATACCTTCAACTACTCTAGTCTATAGGTCTGTGGTGAAGTGAGGTAAACTTTAGACTGCTAATCTCAAGATCAGCGTCTCAGATGAACCAGTCTTTGCAGGAGAAAGACCAGGCTGTCTGCTCCAGTAGAGAGTCACAGACTCTGAAAACCCTAAGATGTAAGGCAGTTCTCCTGTCTTTTAAAGGACACTATGAATCAGAATCAAATCGGTGGCAGTAGGTTTGGTTTTTTGCACCAGAAAATCCATTAAGCCACATGGCTAGCCAGTCCCATCCTATGCAAACCAATCTGGTTACCTTCCCTACAACTGATTGGGCCTGGAAACCTGTGATGCCTGATTAAAAGTTGTTTTATACAGCACAGGCCAGTTCAATTATTCCTGCATGGAGGTGGAAGCTAAGAGACAGACTCAGGTAAGCGTTGGACTGCTAGCTTCAAAGTCTGTGGTTCAACCCACACTACAGGAGAAGGATGACGCTGTCTGCTCCTGTAAAGATTTACAACCTTGGAAACCCAATATAAAGTCATGGTGATGAAGGTAAACAAGCAGCCATCTAGCTCAGAAGCAACAAAGCCCACATGAAAGAATATATCAGCCTATGTGATCACGAGGTTTCGAAGAGATCACTGAAAACAAATGGGTGCACAAGCAAATGTAGCGAAGAAAGTTGATGGTGCCCGGCTATTAAAAAGTATAGTGTCTGGGGTCTTAAAGGCTTGAAGGTAAACAAGCGGCCAACTAGCTCAGACGCAACAAGGCCCACATGGAAGAAGCACACCAGCCTATGAGATCACGAGGTGTCGAACGGATCAGGTATAAGGCATCATCAGAACAAAAAATCTCCCCTTGCAGAGGGGTCTCAGGGAGGAGACGAGCCAATCAGGGTGCGATGTAACAACGATGAGAAATACAACTTTCCTCTAGTTCCTAAATGTTTCCTCCCCTTGCATGACATAATTTATAAATTATCAAGGGCTCATGGGGGGTGGGGGGAGAATGAGGACCTAATGCTGGGGGCTTAAGTGGAGAGGAAATGTTTTGAGAATGATGAGGGCAATGAATGTATAAATGCGCTTTACACGATTGATGTATGTATGGATTGTGATAAGAGTTGTATGAGCCCTTAATAAAATGATTTAAAAAAAGATGCAAACACTGCCAAAAAAAAAAGAACAAAAAATCATAGTGAATGGTGGGGGGAGTGCGGAGTGGAGACCCAAAGCCCATTAGTAGGCCACTGGAGATCCCCTTGCAGAGGGGCCTCGGGGAGGAGATGAGCCAGTCAGGGCGCGATCTAGCAACGATGAAAAATACAACTTTGCTCTGGTTCCTAAATGATTCCTCCCCGCCCCCACTATCATGATTCGAATTCTACCTTGAAAGTCTGGCTAGACCAGAGGATGTACACTGGTACAGATAGGAACTGGAAATACAGGGAATCCAGGGCAGATGATCCCTTCAGGACCAGTGGTGTGAGTGGCGATACTGGGAGGGTAGAGGGAGAGTGGGTTGGAAAGAGGGAACCGATTACAAGGAACTATATGTGACCTCCTCTCTGGGGGATGGACAACAGAAAAGTGGGTGAAGGGAGATGTCGGACAGGGCAAGATATGACAAAATAATTTATAAATTATCACTGGCTCATGAGGGAGGGGGGGAACGGGGAGGGAGGGGAAAAATAACCTAGTGCCAGGGGCTTAAGTGAAGAGCAAATGTTTTGAGAATGATGAGGGCAATGAATGTACAAATGCGCTTTACACAATTGATGTGTGTATGGATTGTGATAAGAGTTGTATGAGCCCCTAATAAAATGATTTAAAAAAAAAGTCACGGTGAGTGCTTGCTTTGGCAGCATATATACTCAAACTGGAACGGTACAGAGAAAATTATCATGGCCCCGGTACAAGGATGATATGCAAATTTGTGAAGCATTCCCTATTTTTAAAATCCCAAAGGAATTCTTTAAAGAACTGGAAAAACGAATTACTAATTTCATAAGGGCAGGCAAAAGACTTAGGATAAGCAAAGAACTTCTGGAAAAGAACAACTAAGTAGGAGGCCTAGCACTGCCTGACCTAAAAACCTACTGCCTAGTCACAGTAGTCAAAGCAGCCTGGGACTGGTACAACGAGAGAGACACAGACCAACGGATCAGAACAGAAACTCAGACATAAATGCATCAGCCTACGATGATCTAATCTTCGACAAAGGGCCTAGAGAGATTCAATGGGAGAAAGATACCCTCTCCAACAAACGGTGTTGGACAAACTGGATTTCCTTATGCAGACGAAACAAGACCCATACCTTTCCCCATGCACAGAAACAAACTCACGATGAATTAAAGACTTAAATGTAAACCCCAAAGCTCCCAGCATCATCAATGAGAAAGCGAACAAATTTAAGGGTCCTATTGCAGGGCATACATAGACTACTAAGTATAATGGAGGAGAGACGCAGCAGAAGACAAGATAGATGATTGGACACGCTGAAATTATATCCCCTATGCACTTTGAAGACTTCACCAGGAGAGTGAAATGAAAGGCCAGATTGGGAAACTTTTTTAACCAACGACTCATCAGGAAAAGGGCTAATTGCTAAAGTCACTGTGGGTTGGAATCATCTCATGGCCGTGAGTTCTAGGAGAATATGAAATAGCTGAAGGCCCCATTGGCACAGTGGTTAAGTATTAGACTGCTAACCACTCGGTCAGCATTTCGAACCCACCAGCCAGAATGCTCCTGAGGGATAAGATGAGGCTGCTTGTAAGCCTGCTCATGATTCACAGTCTCAGGGACCTGAGAAGCAGTCCGACTCGGTCCTATGGGACATTCTCAATTGGAATCTCTACCCTTTACTATCACTATGACTCAAAGTTGGCATGGGCGGTTTTGTGTTTTAAACACTGCACCAAAGGCACTATTGAATAACGTGTAAGAAATTCCAACTATCGATGAGTAATGTTTGCTGGGCTTATTTTTTCATAAAGGTGAGAGCCAAACTAGAGGATAATCACTTATCTTACTGTAACTGTGCTTTTCTGCTTTGACTGGTCATTCCATAGGAGGAGCCCAGCTGGCACAGTGGGCTGCCAGCCTTAAGTTCCGCAGTTAAAAATCACCACTCACTCTTCGGGAGAAAGATGAGGCTTTCTGCTCCTGTGAAGGGTCACAGCCCCGGAAACCCCATCTAGGGTCTCTGTGACTCAGAATCCACTCCTTGGTTTGAGTTTCTGAGACTAAATCTTCACAGGAGTAGACCGCCTCATCCTTACCAGTGTTAGGCAATTTACCTAGTCTATGTCTGCAACACACACACACACACACACACACACACACACACACACACACACACACGTCCTGAAGTGCCAGCTCTGTTTTATAAACATAAGACCATGTAAATGTTTCACTTATTTAAGGACAGGTGGCTGACCTGTGTCCTTTGTCTCCCTTATTTGACTCTTAGATTTCCACCCCAAACCTTATATTTTTGGTAATGCTGTTGTCCTAGGATCTCTGTCTCCTGGCTCTTGATGGCAAAGGACACCTCTCAGGCCAAGGGGTATGGTAGCTGCTGGTGGATTTGTTGGGCAATAAGCTAGTCCATAAACCAAAACCAAACCCATTGCCATAGAGTTGATTCTGATTCATGGTGACCCTACAGAACAAGGTAGAATTATCCCCGTGGGCTGCTGAGATGTAACTCTACATATCTCCTGTGAAAGCCCAATTTCGTGAAAATGTGAGCCTTGGGTGCAGAGATTGGGTGTCTCCCTTCTTCCCTTTAAGCCAAACCCATTTCCATCAAGTGACCCCAACTCATGCTGCCTCTGTGGGACAGAGTAGAACTGCTCCGTAGGGCAGAAATCTTTTCCTAGATTGCCACCTAATTCTTCTGTGGAGCGCTGGTGACCTTTCTGTTAGTCACCAAGCAGCCACCAGGGCTCCTTCCCTCCAGGCTACGGGTTCTGCAATATTCCACATCGATAACTTTTATCTCTGACGTTCCAAGGCTAGGAGAGTAATAGCATGTGCCTTGTTCTTTCCACATCTGTCTTCCTTGAGATAGAGACATGGTTTTTTCAGAAGCAGTGCTTTATTTTCAGTGAAGTGTTTTCTGGTAGAAATATTCCAGAAGCCTGTCTCTCTTTCAGTGGATTGAGTGGGCTGCTTTGTGTCCGCTCCCCCCCAAAGTTATATCGACGTCTTCACCACTGTACCTGTAACTATAAGCTTATTGGGAAACGAGAAGAGCCCTAACAGCACAAGAACTAAGCTCTCAACTGCTAACTGAAAGGTGGATGGGTCAAACTCGCCAACTGCTCTGTGGGAAAAACACGATCGTCTGCTTCCAAGGAAAAGGTCACAGCTTGAAAACCATGGGAAGCATTTCCACTCTGACCTATAGGGACTGGACTAGAAGGCAAAGGGATGGGTTTGGAAATCGGGGGTTCTTTTGTTATGTTTATGGGGCAACATCCCAGTAGGGTGGATCTTAATCTTGTCTTCTGAGTGGCGCCTTATATCAAAAAGCAGAAAACAGTCCCACCCCCCCCACCCCCGTCCCCACACGGAGAAGCCACACGACAATCAAAGCAGATGCATCTGGGAAGAGAAGAAAACAAAAGTCAACAGCAAGAGAACATCAAAGATTGCCCGCAGTTACCAGAAACCAGGAGAGAAACCAGCGGAAATATGGTGAAAGAGGGGCATGTCTCGTTTCATTCTGGACAGTCAGCTGTTGCCACAGGGATCCCACGGGCAACTGCACTCATCGCGCGTGGATACACACTCTTTGGAGCTCAACATTCACTTCACATACTACTTTGTAAGAGAATCCCTCACTTCCCCCCCCACCCCAATCTCAGCCATTGCATCGCGCTTTCAAAAGATCAGTAGGGTCACCCCGTGAGTCAGAGTCATCTCAGTGGCGGCTGACAACAAATGCTGGTGGTAAGGTCAACTTTCTGAAATTTGGGTGTTGTAATAAAATTGGGCTTTTAGAGAAGGAAAGGGGGATAGACGGTGGATAAATAAAGAATGATATTTGTTGCCTTATTGCCATCCAAGCCAGTTTTTTTGTAGCTTGCTTGACAGAGGATTTGGAGCTAAAACCAGGCAATATGGTGCAAAGATAGACTACAAGAGCTCCATGAAATCTGAATGGGTGCACAGCTTGGCCTTCAAAGTCAGGAGACCCCGGGACATTGCAGTCCTGCTGGCAATTGGTTTTTGCTAAGCGGAATCTCACTCCTGGGTCCTCTGACCCACGTGTGGTCGGAGGATGCCCTCACCTATTGGAAGCCTCTGGCAGCAGCAGGACAGCTGTGTGAGTCTGGGTACTTTAGAGAAACAAATCCACAGAAACTCATGTACGAGAGAGTTTTATATAAAGGGTAAGTGCGCATCAAGAAAACATCCCAACCCAGTGCTGCCCAAGCCCACAAGTCCAACATTAACCCCTATGTCCCACACCAGTCCACAAGGTCCTCCTCCATCTCACAAAACTCACGCAATGATGCCAACTGCAGGAGGAAAGTCGAGTCAGTGAACGTGTAAGCATCTCAGCGCTGGCAGGGGTCACCACACGGCTGCTCCAGCCCCCAGGGCTGCATTGGGGTAGGTCATGTGGCTTCTCCTTGGGGATGTCTTGCAGGAAGTCAGCCTTGACAGCTGAAGCAGGGAACTGGCTAAGGCAGCTGCACCCTGGTGCGACCATCACAAAGCAAGAGACCCGAGAACTAGAAAGGCGAGGCTCACTGAGCCATTTATCCCTCAGCCCTTCAATTAACCGCACATGTGTTTATTGGCCAAGTTGCCACAATAAACTACCTCAACAGCCGTGTCAAGCAGGGTACAGAGCTGCCAAGTCTTCCACCTACCAGGCGGTCCCCATTTGGCCTACGGGAAAGTCTCTGCCTCAGATAAATGATAAGTGACGGCTGGGAGATCAAAGAGGACCCAGCCTTAACTGCTGGGGCCCTAGCTGAAATGAGCAGGCCCCCCCAGCCCTCGTAGAGCGAGGCTCACATTCTGCTGGGCACCTTATGAACGGTTTGGCTTTGAAGTTACTCAACCTGCCCAAGTCTCAATCCTTCATCTATCAAATATAGCGATATAACCAGGCTAGTATGAGGATTATGTGAAAAATACAAACAAGGAGACCCGGTCCACTGTAGCTGCTCCGTGAACGTGCTCCTCCTTTTCACACGGAGCCCCAAACGAGAGAAAAAGCAAATGCTTTGAGACGGGCTTGAGTGAAGTCTGCAGGCTCTTTGGTTTACTATGTATTTTGCTAGAAGCTGGGGACTTTTGCACCTCAGAGCGTTCCTTTGTGTCTCAGCTTTGGAGATGCATGCAGTGAATACGGGCACAGAGAAGGGCTCAGCATGCTTTGTTGACTTTCCTTTAAGACTCTCATTACTTGGCCAAAGAACTTGAGCTAAAAGGGCCCCAGCGTGGAGACTTAAACAAGTGCAGAAAGGAAGCCTTCCCGTGTCTGCTGACTTACCCCCTCCTGCTGATGTCTCCCCAAGCCGGGCCACAAGGGCTCTGAAGCTGCTACCGGGTCACTGGGCCTTGCTTGGGGGGAAAAAAGCTGCCCTCCCTCCCTGCACCGTGGCATCGGCCCCTGAAGGAAACTGGGGGTTGAGGGGAAGCACCACCGGAGTTGGGATGTTCTCCTGGAGGGGAGGCAGTATCTGGATCACATAAAAGGGAGCTCCTCCCCACCTGGGGGAGGGCAGCTCTGAGTCAAATGGTCTGGGTTTGGAGGTAAGGGAACAGACTAGATCCACTGAGGGCTGTTTGTCTCTTGCTCTTTGATCATTTTGACTGAAACAAACTTTGAAATTTTCCATTGAGTTCCCTTTCTAGAATGAGTCTGGGGTGCAGTGCATCTTGGCACATCTAGCCACAATCTTTGCAACTCCCACCCAAAGATTTTGTGGAAGCATGTAAATAGGAGGTATGGGATTCTAACATGAGGATTGATTGGTTTTTCCATCCCGTTTGGTTTCAAAATGAGAGGCAGCATGGGGAAATCTCACTATCATTAAGAAAGAAGAGCAGGAGTGGAGCATCTTTCAGGCCTTCCAATCCTTGTGCGGAACCTCTTTGGTCTCGGGAGCAGAGCACTCTGATACCAGAGTTGGGGTGGAAGGGGGGGAAGGAGAGGTGGGGGTGGGACTGGGAGAGGCACAGTGGTTGTGGCAGTAGCTCTTGGTTCAGAAGAGGATTGGAACAAGGGACATCATTGCAAATGTCAGATGGGTGATGGCTGAAAGAACATACCAGATAAAATGTTCAATTTTCTGTCTTGGAAGAAGTACAGCCAGAAAGTTCTTTGGAAGAAAGAATGGCGAGCCTCTGTCTCATGTACATTGCACATGTTGTCAGGAGAGACCAGTCCTTGGAAAAGGACACCAGATTGGGTGTAGAGGGGCAGGGAAAAAGAGGAAGTCCCTCGACAAGAGGGCTGCCAACAATGGGCCCAATCAAACGTTTAAGAATAATTCTGAGGATGGCGGCAGTATTCTGTTCTGTGGGGCATAATGGTTTCACGCTCAAAACTTACTGCCATTGAATCAATTGATTCATAGCCATTTTATAGAATGGCGGAGACTGCCTCTGTGGATTTCAGAGGCTCTAACTCTTTGTGGGAGGAGAAAGCCTGGTGGTTTTGAACTGCTGACTTTGTGCTTAGAGTGGATTCATCTCTTTAGGTGGAAAGGGTAGCACTGGTTGCTGGAGTGGTTCAATGGAATAGAGGGGCTCAATGTCCTCATCTTTTGGATTATCAGCCCATATGTCCCCATCCAAGTTTCAGGGTCCCATTTCTTCCCAACCAATGCCCTTACTACAACATCAGTCACCTTTCAAGGTTGAGAATTGTGCAGGCCAATGGAGTTCTGCTTCTTGTCTGGTAAGACTCATGATTTGGTTTTTAGCAAGATCAATTGTTACTATAAGAGATAAGACTCTCTTAAAAAAAAAGACTCTCTTTCTTGACATTAGTAGCAGCCTTGAGGGTTTTTTTAAATTTTTTAATGGGCACCTAAGCCAGCCTTCGGAAGCTCTTTCTTTCCTTTACCAGTTTGTGTATTTTAAGTAGTATCAACCAACCAGCCAGTGTCCCTATATTATCCTAACAAAATTGTAGAGAGCCTCACTTCTCACCACAATGTCATCCAATAGTGGTGCAAGTTTGGGTATAACTTAGCCACCTCCCACTGTGGATCAATAGCACCCTCTTTACTAATAGTGACAGACCTATTGCATGATCAGACAGTTCCTAGTACCTTTTGGCTTAAGCAGACTTGAGAACAATTTAGAAAACTCCTCTTTATTGTTTGTTTTTCTAGACCCTTGTGGCATCATGGTTCCTTATTGGGCTGCAGTCTGAAAACCCGTGGCAACTCCACGAGAAAGATGAGGGTCTCTACTCCCATACAGTTCGTCTCAGCAACCCACAGGGACAGTTCTACCTGCACCAGAGGGCCCCGAGGAGTCTCAGAATGGAGTAGGCGGCAGGCAGGGAGTTTCGTTTTGAGAGCACCAGTCTTGATACTCGGGTCACTTGGTACTCAAGCGCACGAGAGAAGCAGAACTGGTGCTGCTGCCATTGGGTGGAGTCTATTCGGTTGATTCACAGGGACCCTGACAACCGAACCGAAGTGCTGCCTGGTCCTGTGCCAGCCCCACAAGGGTTTTTCTATTTAAGGCCCCTGTGGCAACCCATTTTGTTGGCTGGGGTGGGGTGGGGGGTGGGGTCGACTTCCTCTTTTTCACTATCCTTCTACTTTCCCCAAACATGCTGCCCTTTTCCAAGGATTGGTCTCTTCTGATATGTATAGCAAGGAATGGCTTGCAGTTGTAGAAGTGGCTACAAACCCGTATTCAGGTCTAAGTTGAAGGCTGATTCCTGTCGTTGCAGGGGCTGACAAACAAGCGGCGGGAGGAGGAAACAGGAAGATTGTAGAATGCCAAGCTGAATGAATCCTATGAATATTTAGCTGAATGAATATATTGGCCAAATACAATCTAGGTCAGCAGTCCACTCTTGACTCCTGGGATTGGCAGGTGATATTAACAGCAGGTCAATGAACCAGAGGCAGGATCCAAATCTAGCAAAAGCTAGCTTATGTATATTGCTAGTCTACACTGAGAGTAGGCCAGACCCCCAATGAAACCACCCATACCATCAAGACGGACCAGATGAACTGCTTGGCTACTTCACAGCTCTCAGCGTGGAGTTGAGGACATTGCTCAATCATGAGAAGCCTGCCCCACCCAAGTTCACATAAAACCTAACCATCACAGCGCTAAGAGCACTGTGGGAAGATCAGCTAGTTCAAATACTTTTCCATGCATCTTTTAAACAAGATCTTAAGACGACTAAGGACCATTTTGTGAAATAAATTGGAAATAGGCCCAAGCTTTGGTTTTACCATTCTGCTCCAGAGAACAATGCTTAATTAATCCACACTGCTTCGTGCTTCGGAGGGGATCTGCTACCTCAAGGCAGGGGTCAGCTCAGGTTACGGCAATTAACTTTTGCAATTCCAAAGTAGTAGATTTGATAATTTCCTCAAGACACGGGAAACAGAACACGGATGCTTATTAGAAAACCATTTTAAGGAAATGTATGAGTACATTGATGAGAAAAAGGCCAGGAAAGTTGTGAGGTATTTCTCGCCACAATGACAAGGCACCTGCTGCTCATTTGAGGGGAGCAGGGCTAGCCTGAGAACTGTTAGGAAAGCTTCTCCTTTGGGGCCCCTACAGCCCTGATCTTGCCTTTCAGTTGTTTTGTTCTGAAACTCATAAAACTAATGAGGAGCTGTCTGAGCCCCTGGAGGCTGCCCCTTTGATGTGGTGCAAATCGAGTGCAAATATTCTTTGGGGAAAGGCTAGAGATGGAAAAACCACTTTCCCAAAGATCTAGATGGAGGATATGTTGAGAAAAAAACCAAAGCTTAACTTTTTGACATACTTAAGAAAAGCTTCTATGATGGGGCAGGACGAGGCACTGTTTTGTTGTTGTGCACTATGGGTGGGAACCAACTTGACGGCACAGAAACGTTATAGCAAAACTGAACACGAGGTTCATACTCATGATGTTATTCTATTAGTGGAGGGACATATTCTTGGTTAGGTAATAACCAGCAACAAGGCCAGTGGAAAAGGCAGGGGGAGAGCAAGTAGGTCACGGTGCTAAGCTGAAGCAGAACACTGCTGGAAAGTGCGGATCGAAAGTGCGGATCCCAGCCACCCAGGCCCCTTCTGCTCCCGTTGTTTCAAAATGGGAGAGAAGGAATTTTCTCCCCTCCCAACTTGCCTTCACTTCCAGAAGCCGAGGCTGCCACTGCTGCCTGTGAAAGGGGTACAGCCATGCTGTCTTTGGCCGACTTTAAGATGTTGACCCATCAGCTGGGAGCTCAGAAGCAGTGCATCTGGGTACACGGTCCTGTGAATGCAGCGTGGTGGCAGGGTCTGGCTGTGTTCCTGTTGTGCAGATGAGATTGTGGGGGGTTAAAAAATACACCTGCTTTGCCTACCACAAATACCCAACAGCTGCAGTCTCCTGGAGATCATTAAACACGAAAAAACATTTCTTATAAAAGTATTATTTTTAATAAATTGATGTATTTCAATGCTGTAACATGATAGCCCAACGCTATTATCAAGGTAGCAAAAAATGAAGATTCTGGTCTTTTTTTATATAAACACTATGAATGACAGCATTCTTGCATTCAATGTCACAAGAAATTATCTTCAGCTTTACGAAGATTCCTTAGCAGTTGATAACACCTTTCAAACAGTGAAGATGTATGTGTATTGACTGGTAGACAATGACAGTCTAATAATTCAGCTGCACTCTAAAACCATACTGAAGAGACGGGCACACAATGGCAGTATAGTTATCTTGCTGAATAAAACAAGTCTCTTAAACATGATTTAAAGAAAATACAGCATGTATCAAAATTACAGCGTATTTTACAGAAAAGGAACCACAGAAATGACAGAGATTAGAACCCTGAAGCAGCAAATGTGTTTCTACCCGTTTTGTGATGGAAGAAGCCATGGATTTAGAGTCCTGTAGTTGTCTGTAGTGTTGAGTCTCCTCCTGCACTGATGTAGTAAATGAACTGCAACCAGAACTCCCTGCTTGGTACAAATGCTGGTGAAGGGTAACTTGCACTATTGCCAGGAGTCGGAGCAATAGCTGGCTGGATTTCAGGCATCGAGTGGAGGCTCTTTACTACAATCCCACAAGCCACACACCTTCCAAAGTGAATGCCAGCAATTTAAGGTTTACGACGAAACAGAAAACAAGGGCATTTACAACAAATGAGCAACCAGCAGTTTCTGTCCAACCCACCATGATAAATATCTCATTTGTTACAACTACAAAGAGGACATCTGACTCCATCACATCACAGTCATTCTGATGACTGAGTTTTTGAGATTTTTCTTAGCAGAGATTTGAGTTGAAAATAAGATTCCATTCTTCCAAAGGCAAAGAAAAGCTGAGTAAATGCTGATTAATTAAATCCATTCTTAATTTTGAACTGTGGAAGAGGATTAGATTTGAATGAGACTTTCTAAAGTTAAATCAACAACAACAACAAAACACTTATTTCCCAACTTAGATATAATTAAATTGCAAGGAACCTTCATGTGTAATTTTCTCTACTGATTGTTGCTAGATAACTGGTCAGAGGCCGCTATTGCTACTAGGAGCCTTTATATGATTTTTAAATTCCAAATGACACAGATGAAAGTAAATACAACAGATCTCATTTGTGTGCTGAGTTGCTGGATTCGGGACAAGGATGGATGAGATGTTGTTATTTACCAAAAAGTGTCTAACTAATGGCTACTCCTTTACATTTGTCAGTAGCCCACCTTTAAATTGTATATAATTGAATTAGAAAAAGATTATAATCCACACATATATGGATTACATATATATATCCCAAGCAAATTGCACCAGATACTTCTTATAAAACCTTGGTTTGGGTGATATGATTTACAAACAAACAAACAAAAAACCAACAACCTTACTGCTGTAGGCTTTTGTGTTTTGTCCTAAATCTCATTTTCAGATCTGAATTAATTCAATTTTTCATAAAGATCACATTTTTTCTTCTACATTTTTAAAACAAGTGTACTGTCCCTTAAAGAGACCACGAGTGATTTGAAAAGGTGTTCCTCTGTGGACACGGACAGTCCAAAGCACTAACTAGGTCACGTGGCTTCGTCTTCCTCAGGCCAGAGATTATAACCCAAGGTTTATTTTCCCCAGGAACAGGGTGTGCTTAAAGTAGATGAAGGAATCAAAATTAGCTTATGAAAAAGTTAAAAATGCAGTTTTCTGAAAGATATGTATATTTAAATAGAGCAAACAATCTAATATAGAAGTTTAAATAAATGTAGATGATTTTAAAACTGACAATATATAAAAAGTTAAAGTCACTGCCTTGGATAGTTTATATACTGCATCCAATAGTTTATATAGGACATTCATTTTTAAGGCAGAAGAATCTAATTTTACATATAATGATTTGATTCTTACATCTAAGGATCAAATTGGGAGCAGACATATTCCTTGATAATAAGCACTTATCTGGGGTGAGAATTTCATTCTTAGTATATATGATAAAGGAGATGCATTTGAGAGAACATAAAAAAAAAGATGAATACTAAGACACACATAATGGTTTTCAATGAGACTAACCATTCTATTTTTGCAGTGAAACTACTCCCATAACCAATGAAAAAACGGATATATTCTTTCTGATATAGTACATTAAAAGTTTGAACTATCAAAGAGTGATCAGTTTGGAGTGTGTTACTTTAGACTCTGGTTTTCAAAACCACTAGTGTAAAGGCAGCCTGAATAGTTAAAAGCAGCTAAATGTCAACTCACACTGCTTTGTGGAAGGCTACCACTTCGGTTATTTCTACTCCATCAACGAAGTTCTGTGCGGGGAAGAAATCAACTTTTTTTTTTGAAAGAACCCCCTCTCCACCATGCCCACATGTGCAAAAATACTCATCAATGATTAGAAAGGATATCCTTAAAGAAAACACATCGTAATTACAGACACAAGAACGTCTCAAGACTACTGGGGCGGACGACTCTGGGATCAACCTGCCTGGTAGACGGGAACCCTGGGAGATGCGCTCACGGAAGGGAGGGCGAAGAACGGCGTGTGGGGACCCACTTCTTGCAGACCAGGGCCTCAGGCCCTCAGGGCTGTGTGTGCTCCTTGCGCCTTCACCTCGGTCAGCGTGGCTCCCTGAATCCTGGCGCCATTATTGTTAAGAACAAGCACAGACAAGAGTCCAAAAGACAATTCTTATGCAGGTAATGGTGACTATTAATGGTGTAAAGTACCATTTTGTGTGCCTGTTATTTACGATGTAGCTCTGGCAATTGTCAGGAGTGTAGAAAGCTAACCTGCCTACTACTGAAGACGTAAAGATGTTCTTCTTTCATGGCGGCAGGAGTCCATGCAAGATCTGTAAACAGCGATACAAAATACTGTAAACATAACAGAGTTTGTATAAAACAGAAGAAAATCCAAATTTACAAGTGGGTAAAAAAACAGAGGGTGGCTTCATACAGAGTTCTCCCTCTTGCGCCAAGTGATATTTTGATTACAAATATAATCCTGAGCTGAAAACTGGGATTGGGGGAGAACCATCTTTGCATACAAAATAGCCAAAAGATGCTTTACTTTTTGTTTTCCTCTAGTGATATCCAACTGCCAGAGACAGTTCTGAATGTGTGACTTTGGAGACATTTATAGTTTAGTGTGGTGGCCGGGTCTGGGGCCTGCCACGCTGCTAGCCATGGCTGACGACGTGGCAGCCTCCTCCGCTTCTTCCAGCTCCTCCTGGAGCTCCTGGCTGACGCTGGACTGGAGGGCCGCAGGGGTCAACCACTCCTTTGGGAGGCAACTCTGTAGAAAGGGTATACAGGAGCTGAAGTAGGCGAGTCGGTTGATCCAGCGAGGAATCTCTTTCCCACAAAGAATCTACAGAGGAAGAAAAAAAGTTTTGGTTTTACCGTGTAAGAGAAGTAAGGTCATTTGGTCTACTACCAGAAAATAAAGGAGATGGGTATTCAGAAAAACCTCTAGCTTCAGGCCTTTGATTCTAAGTCACCATTCTGCGTAGGCACAGTTCCTGGAGTCTCTGGAGCCTGGGATAGCTACTGTCTGCCTGCTCCTTTCTGAGCTTTCTGAACAACCTTTGTCAAGTTGGTCGCTTTTGGGTTTATTAAATGAACCTAATTCTCTTGGTTCCTTTCTTTCTTTGATCCGTGCAATTGCTTTGAGACACATGTAAAAAGACGGAGCAGTGCAGAAGGCATTCTGAGCAGAGTAACTGAAGCTCTTGGCAGTTACAGCATTCAAATCTGGGTGATTTCCTACCTGCAATTTTCCCTCTTCAAAGACTCATTTTCTATGTCCCCCAGTCTGCGTGTTCCTGTTCCCCGGCCTGCACCGCACCACATTACCCCACCTGGACCCGCTTTTCCCAAGGAGCCCACAGTGCTCCAGAAGGAAAGCCCTGTCTACAAGGGGCCTGCTGGTCCATGACTCCAGTGCACAAGTGGGGCAGTGGATAATCTTTCCAGCCTGTATCTGGGAAAGATCAAAATGGATGATCTACTGTGTTCTCCATTCACACCGATGCTGTCAGTAGGGCACTGGAGCACTCTGTCGGATTTCACATAGTAAGCACTGGCTCTTTCTGGATCCAACTTTACTTTCTTTGAGCCTCTCTTCTGGGAACGAGACTGCCCCTGCTTTGTGCTTTTGCCCCACCCATGCCGAACCTACCACCACATGGTCTAGAGTGCCATCTCAGTTGATGACTTTAGAAAGAGGTTTTAAACTGTTCTTTGTCCAAAATTTACCTAATATTTCAATAAAGTGGCTTCTAAATTCACAATGTAATCCCCTTAAAGGTTTACCCCTTAATACTCATCACTACATTTACTGTAAGTCTAAGAGGGTTTCAGAAAGTTCTTAGAAAAAGAAGTTGAAAGATGATGTAAGTTTTGGACCCCCCTTTGAGGTCTCTGTTTTCCTTTTAGGAAAAGTGCCGTGGGTTGGCTCACTTTGAAGATTTTAATTACGTTGTTTACTGAGAACTTACCACATTCCTAGGGGCACGGAGAAGTACAGACAGACAAGACCATGTAAGTAGGTGAACAAGGTCCAGGAGAAAGGAGAGCTAGGCCTACACACTCAGAGACAGCTCTGTGCCTAAGAAGCAGGCCTGTGCCCCGTGGATGAACTACTTTGATGGCAGAGTGCAGACTGACCACAGCACGATCTCAAAGATGTGCATGCTACAACAACTAGCCAGGCAGGACGGTGCTTCAGTGAGACCCTTGGGAGGAGGACACTGTGAGCGCAATGAAAGCCACTGAAATGTCCACCTAAAGTGCGTTCAAATGGCAAATGCTATGCCAGAAGTACTGTAGCACAATTAAAATACAACCCGCAAAAAATCCCCAAACATGAAAGTATGTACCACCATGCCACCTTGAGCTTACCCTACAGGAAAAGGTATTATTTCTTTTTTAAAGTCATTTTATGGGGGGCTCATATAACTCTTAATACAATCCATACATCCATCCATGTGTTGAGCACATTTGTTGCCATTATTAGTCTTTCAATGAAAAATATTTACCTGAGAGTTAAGTCCCTCTAGCCATTCTTTTAGTATCACCTAAGAAGTGAGCATGATCTAAGAATACTTTCAAGGGGTAATAAAAGCAGAAGCAAGAGTTGTGGCAAAAGCATCCAGTGGCCCGGCTATCAAGACATTTAGCGTCTGGGGTCTTAAAGGTTTGAACTCAAACAAGTGGCCGTCTAGCAGGGAAGCAAATAAGCCCACATGGAAGAAGCACACCAGCTTGTGGGATCATGAGGTGTCGACTGGATCAGGCATCAAAAGATCCAAAACAAACTATACTGATGCAAAAGAGGGGGGTTGGAGAGGAGACCCAAAGCCCATCTGTAGGCAATTGGATATCGCCCACAGAAGTGGTATAAGGAAGGGATGATTCAACCAGGGTGCAGTATAGCACTGATGAAACACACATCATTCCTCTAGTTCCGGAATGCTTCATCCCCCACGACCATTTCTGGCTAGAATACATATTGATACTGATAAGAGCTCTCAACACATGGAATTCAGGACAGATAACCCCCCAGGAACAGTAACAGGAGCAGTGATATTATGAGGGAGTGGATGGTCAGGAAGGGGAAAGGGTAAGAAAGGGGAACCTATCACAAGACTGGATATATAGTAACCCCCCAACCCCTGAAGGGGACGAATAACAGAAATGTGGGTGAAGGGAGACAACGGACAGTGTAAGATGCGAAATAACAGTAACAATATATAATTGATCAAGGATACACAATAGGGGGAGAGGGAAAAAAGAAGAGCTTATACTAAGGGCTCAAGTAGAAAGAAAATGTTTTAGAAATGATGACAACTTATGTACAAATCTGCTTGATGCAATTGATGTATGAGATGTTTTAAGAGCTGTAAGAGCCCCCAATAAAATGATTTTTAAAAAAGAGCGTGGCAAAGCAGAGCAAGGCTTGGCTCATATTGACTGAGGACGTTGGAGAGTTTTACATAGGAATAAAGATCTCAGTTTGCCCTTAATACATAGCTGTTTTCCAGAAGAGGAATACAGTCAGATAATGAACATCCCCGTATTTCTTAACCAGAGTGTTTAAAGTGGTTCTTAATCAGGAGTATTTAAGTGACAGAAGGCACAATGTGTTTGTCAGTTACAGAAAGTGCATGCCCAGGACCTACCCCTGAAGACTCTGATTCAGAAGCTAGGAGTATAGAGGTCTTGGCTACGATGTTTCACAATTTTGATTTTTAATGAAATAAAATAATATTTGTTTTCTAACATCATGTTATCTAGGTATAGAAATGCACCAATTAAACCCACTGTTGGCAAGTCAATTTCTTTTTTTTTAAACATTTTATTAGGGGCTCATACAACTGTTATCCCAATCCATACACACATCAATTGTGTAAAGCGCATTTGTACATCATTCTCAAAACATTTTCTCTCCACTTAAACCCCCGACATTAAGTCCTCAATTTTCCCCTCCCTCCCCGCTCCCCCCTCCCTCATGAGCCTAGATAGTTCATAAATTGTTATTTTGTCATATCTTGCCCTGTCCGACGTCTCCCTTCACCCACTTTTCTGTTGTCCGTCCCCCAGGGAGGAGGTCACATATAGTTCCTAGCAAGTCAATTTCTAATGACAGTAACCCTACAGGACACAGGACTGCTCATGAATGGTTTCCAAGATGCTAACTTTTCCAGAAGCAGGCTGCCACATCTTTCTCCCTGCAACGGCTGATGAGTTTGATATGATGCCCATTTGATTAGTATAAATGGACTTAAAAACTTCTTAAAGAGTTGCTGCTTTCAGTTCTTTTGAGTATATGAGGGAAGTGAAAAACAAAAAACAAAAATACCGTTGTTAGGATTCTAGCTTATGCACACACAAGTGTATTCCAACTCGAATGCGCTTAAATACTTGTCTGCCACTCGTGGGTGATGGACTGCAGACAAGTTCTATCAATGATAACATTTGTCATAGTCTTGTGAAGGGTACCTTCACATAAAGAAAAGGTTTTGTGCTGTGGTTAAAAAAAAGTGAGTTTGAGATCAGGGTCAGCATCAGAATTTTAAAACAAAACTCAAATGTACATTTTTCTCAAATCACTGAAGCTTTGCAACAAATCACTGAAGTTTATGGGAATGCTGCCCCACAGGAAACAATAGTTTTCAGATGGATCCAATGTTAAGAAAGGTGGGGAAGATGACTTCAAAGATGAGCCAAGAGAAGAAAGATCTATTTTCCCCCCTTTTTATATCATTTTATTGGGGGCTCATACAACTCTTATATCCATCCATCCATCCATCCATCCATCCATCCATCCATCCATCCATCCGTGTTAAGCACTTTTGTACATTTGTTGCCATCATCATAAGAAAGACCATCTTAATGAATGAAGAAAACGTGACCTAAGTCCAGAAACTGGTGAAAGAAGACGCCAAAACACTGGCTCCCAACCCTGTGGGTCGTGACCCCTTTGGGGGTTGAACGACCCTTTCACAGGGGTTGCTGAAGACCATTGCAAAACACATATTTCCGATGGTCTTAGGAACCTAGACACCACTTCTCTATCCGTCTCCAGGTGGGCCCACCAGCCCACATGCAGATAACGCCCACATACAAGTACCCAGCATAAAGACTGTTACCCATGCTACACCATGCTTCAAGACAAAATTTCATTGATTTGTCATTAGAAATAAATATTTCACAATATATAATTACATACTGTTTTGTGATTAATCACCATGTTTTAATTATGTTCAATTTATAACCATGAAAATACATTCTGCATATCAGATACACACATTACGATTCAGTAGCAAAATTACAGCCAAGAAGTAGCAATGACAATAATTTTATGGTTGGGGTCACCACAACATGAGGAACTGCATGAAAGGGTCATGGTATGAGGATGGTTGAGAACCGCTGCCCTAAAATTACCTCTGTTGTAATAACTACTGAAGTCAGGATCTCACATGATTTGGCTTTTTTTAAAAATTATTTTATTGGGGGCTTGTATAAATCTTACCACAATCCGTACATACATCCATCGTGTCAAGCACGTATGTTGCCATCATCATTCTCAAAACATTTGCTTTCTACATTGAGCCCTAGTTATCCCTCCCGGTATCGCCACTCTCACCACTGGTCCTGACTGGCTTTTCTCCTCCCTGCAATGCTTCTGAAAGGGGATGTCCACTTGCCTACAGATGGGTTTTGAGTCCCCAATTTGCACTCCCCCTCATTCACAATGATATGATTTTTTGTTCTTTGATGCCTGATACCTGATCCCTTCGACACCTCGTGATCACACAGGCTGATGTGCTTCTTCCATGTGGGCTTTGTTGCTTCTGAGCTAGATGG